TGACCTGATGGGCTCAGATGATTGATTGGCTTTGCAGTAAATATATGAATGATGTAGGGACCTGGCTTTCTCACCATTTGGAAAAGGAGTTGCAGATATGAAAAGGGAGAAGGCTTGAATGTGGGTTTGATTTGGAGTTGTTGGTGTGAACTCATTGATCTAGTCTGAATGTTTGTCCCCACCCAAATCTCATGTTAACTTGTAATCCCCAGGGCTGGAGGTGGGGCCTGGTAGGGGGTGTTTGGGTCACGGGGGTGGATCCCTCAGGAATGGCTTAGTGCTGTCTTCGTGATAGTGAGTTCTCGAGAGATCTTGTCATTTTAAAGTGGGTGGCATTCCCCCCTTCCCCCCACACACATTCTCATTCTCTCTCTCTCTCTCCCTCACTCGCTCCTGCTTTCGCCATGAGATACACAAGCTCTCGCTTTGCCTCCCACCACAAGTAGAAGCTTCCCGAGGCCTCTCTAGAAGCCGGGCAGATGCCAGCACTATGCTTCCTGCAGAGCCTGCAGAACCAAGAGCCCAGTAAATCTCTTTTCTGTATAAATTACCCAGTCTCAGGTATTTCTTTATAGCGGCACAAGAGTGGCCTAATACACTTATGGCTTTCAATGTACAGATAGGTATAGAAATAAACATAGCTGTAATGTAGGGCTGTGCATATGTATATGTCTCAGCTCCATCACTTAGAAGGCCTGGGACCATCTCAATAGCAGTGAGTCGACTTAGCGCCTGGGTCTCGATTTCTAAACAACAGTCTTGATTAAAAAGAACAGAGCTCATTAGAGAAATGACTGATTCCAGGGCCAGGGCAGAGAAAGTCCAAGATTAACTGGATCATCTTGTTGTCCCAGAAAAATAAGGAAGTGCTTAAAGAACAACGGAGACACATTTAGCTGGACTAAGACAGAGAGAGAGAGGACTAACATCAGAAACGAAAGTAGGCACGTTACTACTGACCTTGCAGAAAAAAAAGTATGCATGAGAGCACGGAAACATATGACTTCCTTTAACTTCATTCTCCTTCTTTACTTCTGAGTTGGTCAAGAATTAGAAGCAAGAGTTTGGGAACACTTTGCTAAAAGGGTTTCTATTCACTGCTGCAGATGTAGCTAAGCTATACATATATAGATATAGATGATAGAGATAGATAGAGATGATTGATAGATAGATAGATAGATAGATAGATAGATAGATAGATAGATAGATAGATAGATAGATAGATAGATACAGACAGACAGACAGACAGACAGACAGAAGACCGGGTCTCACTTTGTCACCCAAGCTGGAGTGCAGTGGCGTGAACATGGCTTACCGCAGACTTGACTTCCTGGGCTCAATGCCATCTTCCCGCCTCAGCCTCCAGAGTAGCTGGAACCACAGGCGTGCGCCACCACGCCTGGCAAATTTTACAATTTTTTGTAGAGAGTAGGTACAGCCATGTTGCCCCGGCTGCTCGCGAACTCTTGAGCTCAAGCAATCTGCCCAGCTCAGCCTCCCAAATTGTTGGGATTACAGGCGTAAGCCACCATGCCCGGCCAATTGCAGCAATAATATTCTTTTGCAAAAAATTTGTTCACTGTTGGTACCGAAGAGCTGTTGAACATCCTATTACTGGACAGGAAGCATTTGTCATGGTACAGGCCAGGGTTTTCTGCCCCAATCAGGGTCTGATGTTAGGAGGTACGTGGAGAGATGGGTAACCCTAACAGTGTCACCGTTTTCTTACTTTCCCCCAACAACTCATCTCATTTATTCATGTTTGTGTTTTGCAGACAATCGGAAATAACACGTCACAGTTACAAGCGCCATTACATATAGTGGTAGTTTTTCTGATCCTAGACAAAGACCACTTGAGTTTATTACAACCCCTATCAGCCATGGTACTTTGGGACAGTCACTCAGCCTCTCTTAGGTTTAGTTTCCACGTCTATGAATAGGATGACAATCATATTCTGCATGCTTGCTCTGAGGATGGAAAAGATCATTTCCCTTTTTTTAGAGTCAGGGTCTCGCTCTGTCGCCCAGGCTGGCGGGAGTGCAGTAGTGTGATCACGGCTCACTGGAGCCTCGACCTCCTGGACTCAAGTGTTCCTCCCACCTCAGCCTCCCGAGTAGCTGGGACCACAGGCATGAGCCACCGTGTCTGGCGGAAAAGACAGTTTTTATAATGACTTTTATCTCTTTTATTTCTTGACAAAACCATGTTTTTGTTCACTACTTCAAGGTGAATGATGTCCTTCCGGTTCCAAATCTAGTGTCTGATTTGAGTGCTAGCTAGCCACTGGATAGATGCTGGAGGAAAAACAACTGCTCTCTGATTTGATTTTATGCTTAAGCAGATTTTCTGGAAGCTTGCACACCTGTTATCTTTGAAAAAATAAATCGGTTATTGGTTAATTTTTTCCCCAAACAGTGATACAATGAGTTATGATTATAACATGACATACATGTACCTCAAAATCATTGTGTAGTACAAATCACAAAACTTACAGGAAAAATGGGGTTGGGGCACAATACTCAAAACCTTTGTCAGTGACACATAAAAAAAGATGGGAACCTAGTAACAATGGTAGCACAGTTCTATGCATGTTAAATGGCTAAAAAATACTTAAGTGCTGCAGCAAGTATGGCACCTCACCTTGAATAAGACCTGAAGTTTGCTTGTGGAAATGGCGGTGGAAGGGTTGCAGGCCATGAATTGGTGAAAGGAGGGTGTTCTGAAACTGGACAGAAAGTTGTAACACCAGATGCGGACTAGTGTGGCTTATATTACGTGTGCTGAGCCGAGGGAGTGGAGTAAGGTGGGAATCCCCTGGGAATTTAAGTAAACACTGATCAAAATGTTTGTTTAAAACCAATTCTCTTGTATTCATTACGTTGGCATTTAGGAATGAAGTGATGTTTCCAGGACCTATGTTGATTGAAAGACCAAAGATTTTGTACCTGTTGAGTCTACGTCTTTACAGTACAGTAAATTTGTAAACTCAGAAGAGTTTAAAGATTCAGTCAACAATTGGGTATTTAGCAAGGCACTCTGGGAAACAGAAAAACTGTAAGACAGTCTCTGCCTCGGGGCGACCAACTACTTTTTAAAAATTTAACTGGAGTGTATATGAAAGAGGAAATGGAGGCGGCCTGGTGCAGTGTGGCTCACGCCTGTAATCCACACACTTTGGGAAGCCGAGGTGGGAGGACCGCTTGTGTCCAGGAGTTTGAGACTAGCCTGGGCAACATAGTCAGATGCCATCTCTACAAACCATTTTAAAAAATGAGTCAGGCGTGGAGGTGCGCACCTATAGTCCCAGCTACTTGGGAGGCTGAGGTGGGAAGATGGGTTGAGCATGGGAAGTCAAGGCTGCAGTGAGCCGTGATTGCACCACTGCACTCTGACCTGGGTGACACAGTGAGACCTTGTCTCCAGAAAAAAAACAACAAAAGGAGGAAATGAAAATCTAGAAAAATATGTGAAATCTTTTCCTATCAGATGTTTCCCCTTAAGCTTTAATGATCCTATTTCAATAAAAGAAATATGGGAGAATATTGATGACTGGCAGCATGTAGTGGTTAAGAGCACCGGACTGGGAGCTGAAGAGTCTGTGATTCCCGAACTCCTGGGCTCAAGCGATCCTCCCACCTCGATCTCCCAAACTATTGGGACTATAGGCATGAGCCAACATGCATGGCCGAGTCTGTGATTCTTTACTGGAATTGAGTGACGTGTGTTTCCTTCTTAAATGACATTGTGAATTTCCAAGATCCTTGAAATCTCTTTGCATCTCTTTCCAATTTGCCATCACTATGCCTGAAGTTCAGCTGAAATGCTTATATTTCAGCTTAGACCATTACCTGTATTCTGATCAAATATGTTATGGCATCGAAGCTAATTTTGAGACATGGTCCCTAGGCCACGGGACCTAATGACCAGAGATGGAAGTCCATGTGCTGCTTCTGTCCCAAGGGAGATGAGTATCTGTTAGGGGCTCACTCGGGACTCTGTGCTGCTACCTGAGTGCGACGCAGATGCTGGAGACTTGAGAAGATATCACTGTAGACCCCAACCCTGTTATAGCTGATGAGGAAAAAAATTGAGACCATGTATTATTGCCCCCACAAAATGCATGTATTATATTGATAAGATGTGAACAATATATTATTCCTCACTATTCTGCAAGTTGCCTTTCCATTTTGTTGATCGTTACTGAATTCTTCCACCCCCAAAAAGGATTATATGAGAAGATTGTGAACAATTGTTTGCCAACACATTAGATAACCTAGATGAAGTGGACAAATTCCTAGAAATGTACAAACTATGAAAACTGACTCAGGAAGAAACAGATTTCATTTCCTTCAGATCTATACCCAGAAGTGGATAGCTGGATCATATGGTAGTTCTATTTTTAATTTTTTGATGGACATTCACAGGCCTGGAGGCCAAAGAGGCAAGAAAGGATTTTTGGACCCGGCCCAGGACCCTGCTGGCCTGCGCACCCTCGGGACACTGCTATCTGTGCCCCAGCTGCTCCAGCTTCAGCCATGTCTAAAAGGGCCCCAGATACACTTCCGGCTGCTGCTCTAGAGGGTGCAAGCTGTAAGCCTTGGTGGCTTCCATGTGGTGTTAAGCCTGCGGGTATGCAGAGGGCAAAAGTTGAGGCTTGGGAACCTCTGCGTACATTCAGAGGATGTATGGAAACACCTGAATGTCCAGGCAGAAGTCTGCTGCAGGGACGGAGCCCTCCTGGGGAAACTCAACTAGGGCAGTGCAGAAGGGAAACCTGGGGTTGGAGTCCCCACACAGAGTCCGCCCTGGGGCACTGCCTGGTGGAGCTGTGAGAAGGGGGCCACCGTCCTCCAGACCCCAGAATCGTAGATCCACCGGCAACTTGCATTATACTCCTGGAAAAGCTGCAGACACTCAACACCAGCCCAGGAAAGCAGCCGAGGGGGCTGTACCCTGCAGAGCCACAGAAGCGGAGGTGCCCAAGGCCTTGGGAGCCCACCCCTTGCATCAGTGTGGCCTGGATGTAAGACATGGAGTCAAAGGAGGTTATTTTGGAGCTTTAAGAATTAATGACGATTTTCTGCTGTGCCCGCCCACACATGTAGTTTCCTCCGCACGTGCGTGCCTTCCCTCCTTCCGGCCTTCAGGGTCCATGGCCACCATGGCGTATTAGGGGTAGCAGTGCCTGTGGCAGCATTGGCCTTTGCAGTGGTGGCAGCAGCACCAGGCTCTGCAGTGGCACCCACCGGCGGCTTAAGCCATGGCACTTCTCACAGCATTCAGCAGCAGCATTGCTGTAACTGACAAAGACACCTTCGAATTAAGCACATTCCTTGATTCCAGCAAAGCACTGCACCATGACCAAGATGAGTTTCCTGAGCAGTGAGGTGTTGGTGGGGGCTTGATGTCCCCCTTTGACCAGTCAGGTTTGGGGACTGAAGAAAGCCTAGGTCTCTTAGATGACTACCTGGAGGTGGCCAGGCACTTCAAACCTCACGGGTTCTCCAGCGACAAGGCTAAGGCAGACTCCTCCGAATGGCTGCCTGTGGATGGGTTGGTCAGTGCCTCCGACAATGGCAAGGAGGATGCTTTCTTTGGGACAGATTGGGTGTTGGAGAAAACGGATCTGAAGGAGTTCGACTTTAATGCCCTGTTGGGTATAGATGACCTGGAAACCATGCCAGATGAGCTTCTGGCCACGTTGGATGACTCGTGTGATCTCTTTGTCCCCCTAGTCCAGGAGACGAATAAGGAGCCCCCTCAGACGGTGAGCCCGATTTGCCATCTCCCAGAAAGGTGAACAAAACCCAACCAGGTTGCCCCCTTCACCTTCTTGCAACCTCTTCCCCTTTCCCCAGAGGTCCTGTCCTCCACTCTAGATTATTCCTGTAGTCTAGAGCTGGGAAGTGAAGCAGATATCTCTGAAGGAGATAGGAAGCCAGACTTCACTGCTTACATTTCCATGATCCCTCAGTGCATAAAGGAGGAAGTCACTCCCTCAGATAATGATAGTGGCATCTGTATGAGCCCAGAGTCCTATCTCAGCTCTCCCCAGCACATCCCCTCTACCTCCAGGGGCTCTCCAAGTAGGAGCCTGCCATCTCGAGGTGTCCTCTGTGGCTCTGCCTGTCCCAAACCTTATGACCCTCCTGGGGAGAAGATGGTAGCAGCACAAGTAAAGGGTGAGAAACTGGATAAGAAGCTGAAAAAATGGAGCAAAACCAGAACAGCAGGAACTAGGTATCACCAGAAGAAGAGGGTGGAGTAGGAGGTCCTCGCTGGTGAGTGCAAAGCCCTGGAAAAGAAGAACGAGGCACTGAAAGAGAGGGCAGATTCCCTGGCCAAGGAGATCCAGTACATGAAAGATTCGATAGAAGAGGTCTGCAAGGCAAGAGGGAAGAAAAGGGTCCTCTAGTTGAGGGTAGTCAGGAGCATCAGTGTGCTTGTACACAGGAGTCTCACGCTGTAGCTGTGTGTTTGAATAAATTATTTTGTAGTGGAAAAAAAAAAAAGAATTAGTGGCTGTCCTGTTGGGTTTTGGACTTGCATGGGGCCTGTAGCCCCTTTGTTTTGGCCGATGTCCCCCTTTTGGAAAGGGAGTCTTTACCCAATGCCTGTACCTCAATTGTATCTTGGAAGTAACTAACTTGTTTTTGATTTTACAGGCTCATGGGCAGAAGGGACTTGCCTTATCTCAGATGAGACTTTGGACTGTGGAGTTTCGAGTTAGTGCTGAAATGGGTTAAGACTTGGGGGACTGTTGAGGAAGAGATGGTTGTACTGGATTGCAATGTGAGAAGTACATGAGATTTGGGAGGGGGCAGGGGTGGAATGATATGGTTTGGATTTATGTCCCTGCCCAAATCTCATGTTGAATTGTAATCCCTAGTGTTGGAGGAACGCCCTTTTCCATGGGCGTTGGTTTCCCCTTTGCTATTCTCATGATAGTGAGCTCTCACGAGATCTGGTTGTTTAAAAGTGTGTAGCATCTCCCCCTTCACTTTCTCTTTCTCCTTCTCTGGTCATATAAGATGTGACTCCTTTCTCTTTGCCTTCTGCTATGATTGTAACTTTCTTGAGGCCTCCCCAGCCATGCTTCCTGTAGAGCCTGCAGAACTGTGAGTCAATTAAACCTCTTTTCTTTATAAATTACTCAGTTTCAGGTAGTTCTTTATAGCAATGTGAGAACAGACTAGTACCGTCACTATTGATGAGAACGTTGAGCTATAGGTACTCTCATACATTACGGTGGAAGCGAAAACTGGCTCAAACCACTTGGGAAAACATGGCATTATCTAGTAAATTTCGAGATATGTATTGCCTGTGATACAGCAATTCCAAAAAGAAACTTGGACGTGTGCTTCAAGAGACCTGTACAAGTATGTTCATAGCCAAGGGATGGAAACTATCCAAATGCCTGCCCATCACCAGCAGAATGGATAAATTAGAGGACTATGAAACTCTGCCGTAATGTAATAGGTAGTTTCCAAGAAATCCAATCACATACAATGTGAAACTGTGTTACTGTGGGGTTAATGAAGTGAACGAGGCAAGCCTACTGGACCATCCAAATCTGTCCTGATCCCGGCTGGAGTTTGATGCCATCTAGTGGCAGATGTTGCTCTGGCTGAAATATTGATGGAGGAGATTTCCGGCCCAGTGGCTGACTGAGACTTCCAGGACAGTGGCAGTATCTCCGGGAATCTCTCAATCAGTTAGGACTTCCTTTCTTGACTTGATCTGGTGATAATAGGCCGGGAAAATAATGGGGACCAGGAGACCCTCCCTCTGTCTTCCTGCTTCCTAAGACAGGGTCACGTGTACTTTACTCTCCCTTCCCTGACCTGTTGAAGGTAAGAACTTTAGCCTGCCTCTGTCTGAGAATGGGGACTGAGCAGAGGATGACAGGAAGGATGGCAATCACTAAGTGGGTTATGTCTCATTTTCAGCTATTCCAGGTGTAATTGTGTTACCAAGTTGTGTTCTCTGGTTTTTAAAATTCATCATTTAATGAAATATATGCAATGAAATACAGTAGTGAAAATAATGAACTGGAGGTACACGCAAGAGCTTGGGTGAATTTTTCTTTCCTGTAAGTAAAAACATTTTTAACTGATGTATGATAACTCCACATATTTATGGAGTATATGTGATATTTTGATACATGCAGACGCACACACTATGTAATGATCAAGTCGGGGTATTTAGGATACCCTCCACCACCTCAAGCATTTATCATTTCTTTTTTTGGGGAACATTTCCTATCTTTTAGCTATTTTGAAATATACAATAAATAGTCCCTCTACAGTGCTATCAAACACTAGAACTTACTCCTTCTATCCAACTATATGTTTGTCCCCAGTAACCTCCCCACCCTCCCCACCTTTCCCAGTCTCTGGTAACCATTATTCTGCTCTACCTCCAAAAGATCAACTGTTTTAGTTTCCACGTGAGTGTCAATATGCTTTTCCCAGGTGCAGAGGCTGCTGATTCCTGGATTTGGACGGTGGGGGAGGGTGGTTTGGATTGCAGTACCTCCCCCTTCCTCAGGGCTAGACCCTGTCCGGTCACCTCCTGTTGCCACAGGTGTGCCTGGCACAGACATCCAGCTCCCAGGGCCGTGCCGCCCTCACCCCTGCATGCCTCTAGAGGTACCTGTCCCGTGGATTTGACCCCCCTTCCGGACACACAAGTAGATCAGCACCCAGCAGACACAGGGTCATCTCCCAGCTCCCCACCAGGTAAGAGCGACTAGGACAGGGGCTGATACTGCCGAATCCAGGAGCCAGGCCCAACCCAGCCTCAGGTCCAGCAGGTCCCGCCTGTCCACCTGCGCCGGGCCTAGAGCCCGGGAGCCCCTGGCTGCTGGGAGGCCACCCGCAACCCACCCCACACGCAGCTCCAGCTCCCCCACCAGGCGGGGCGACTAGGACAGGGACAGAGCCTGTTGAACCCAGGAGTGAGACCCGGCCCTGGGTCCTGCTGGGCCCTCCCGTCCACCTTGGGTGGACCTGGCACATGGGAGACCTTGGCTGGCAGGAGGTCACTCCCACCTGACATGCGGTTCCAGCTACCCCACCTGGCTGGGCGACCGGGACAGGGACGGAGGCTGCTGAACCCAGTTAGAGGCCTGGCCCCAGGGTCTGTCCTGGACGCTCCCCCAAGGACAGGCAGGATAGGCAGGGTCCGGGACGACGGCCGCACAGCCCCGGCCCTGTGTTCCCAGGCCCGCCTTGCTCCTCGATGTGAGGAAGACCAGGGAGACGGGACAGGCTGGGCCCCGCGGTACCGGACTACCTGCAGGGCTCCCGGGACAGGGGCCTGGTGGACTGCCGGCTTCTCAGGGGTGACGGGTCCAAGCTGGCATGGCGGCCACCTTCCGGCCCGGGCTCTCTTGGGGCGGGGCAGGGTTGGCGAGAACCAGTCATGTGCTCCGGGGCTCGCTCGGGGTCTCCCAGGGCCGGAAGTAGGGCCCCTGTGCGCAGGCGCCCTGAGGATCCCAGGCTGCCCCTGTCACGCCAGGGGGCGGAACTTCCTGCAGCCTCACTGCCTCCGCGTGCTTGTGGGCCCTGACTTTCTCTCTGAGCGCACCGCAGAGGCCCAGGAGCCATGCAGGCCGCAGGCCAGGGCACAGGGGGCGCGGCGGGCGATGCTGATGGCCCAGGGGGCCCTGGCGATCCTGGTGGCCCAGGGGGCTATGCTGGCGGCCCAGGAGAGGCGGGTGCTGCGAGCGGCGGAGGTACTCAGGGCATCGCGGCACCAAGGGCCTCAGGGCCAGAAAGGGTCTCAGGGCCAGGAGGAGGCGTCCCTCGTGGGCCACGTGGCGGCCCGGCTTCACGGCTGAATGGATGCTGCAGTTGCGGGACCAGGAGGCCGGACAGCCGCCTGCTTGAGTTGTATCCTGTTCTGTTCTGTTCTAGACAGTTCTCGTGGCGGGGTGGGGGCCGGGAGATGGGGAGGGCAGGGCCCGGTGGGGGAGGAGGCGGGGGAGATGTGAGTAAGGGGTTGGGTGGGGGTGGGGGTGGGAGTTGGGAGGTGGGGATACGGGAGGCCAGCTGTGAGGAGGGCAGCAGGTAAGGGCTGGGAGGTAGGGGGTGTGCAGGGTGGGGGAGAGGGGATGGGTGATGGGGTTAGGGGCACTGGGTCATGCAGGAAGGGGGGCAGGGGCCAGGAGATAGGGGGACCCGGGTGTAGGAGGGGATCAGGAGGTGGGGGGAAGGGGGCAAGATGGGAGCGGGTGGCGGGAGGTGGGGAGAGGGAGGGTTGCGTGACGAGGAGGGGGCCGGGTGATGCGACAGGGGGCAGGGTGGGGAGGGGCCTTGTAAGGGCATGGAGGAGTCACCTTGGGGTGCAGCAAAGGAAAGTGTGGAACCAAGACAGCTGAGTGGGATGTGCTACTGGGCCAGTGCCTGGGGAGACAGCCTGGGGGGGATGAGCTGGGCAATCGGGAGTGGGGGTGAGGAGTGGGGAAAGCTGACCTGGGGTAAGCAGCAGGCCGGAGGCACAGGCCACGTCCTAGGAGATGATGCCTTAACTGGGCCCCCACCAGCTACCTCACCATGCCTTTCCCGACACCCATGGAAGCAGAGCTGGCCCACAGGAGCCTGGCCCGGGATGCCCCACCGCTCCCCATGCCAGGGGTGCTTCTGAAGGAGTTCACCGTGTCTGGCAACATACTGACTATGTCAGTTCAGGACCAGGACAGGGACGGGGCCTGGGTGGGTGGCGTGCGCAGCATGGCAGGGTGGGGGCTGGGATCCGCCTACACCCCACGGTCAGGTTTCTAGAGACCTGGGAACACCCCAGCACAGGGTCTCAGAACAGAGACCTGGTGCACCAGGCCCGCCACCACCCGAGGGAGCCCGGGGAGATGGGTGCAGAGGTGTCACCTTTAATGTAATGTTCTTCGCCCCTCACATTCAGCCGACTGATTGCTGCGGACCACCGCCAACTCCAGCTCTCCATCAGCTCCTGTTTCCAGCAGCTTTCCCTGTTCATGTGGATTACGCAGTGCTTTCTGCCTGTGTTTTTGGCTCGGCCTCCCTCAGGACAAAGGCGCTAAGCCCAGCCTGGCGCCCCTTCCTAGGTCGTGCCTCCTCCCCTAGGGGATGGTCCTTGCACGAGCGGCCACTTCATTGTGGGGGCCTGATTGTTTGTCGCTGGAGGAGGCCGGCTTACATGTTTGTTTCTGTGGGAAATAAAAGTGAGCTACAATTCCGTGTCTGAGTCTCTTCTCGGCGAGCGAAGGCACCTTCAGACTTGCGTGCCCTTGTCCTCGGGTTGGGGAGGCTCTGGGATTCAGAGATTGAAGTAGCACAAGGTAATGGAAGACAATTTGGGAAATGGGGGAAAATGAAAAGCCACTGGGTCCCGCCGTTCAGCTTTAAGTACTGTGGACATTTTAGAATACTTTCCTCAATATGCTTGCATTTATATGTTAAATATATGACAGTAGCATATATGATGTTTTTCCAGCTCAGCATTAGGTTTGTTCCCAAATTGTCTTCATTGAACATACGAGCTTTTTTACTTTGAAAAAATTCTTCAAAAACATGTACTTGAATAGATGCATAAAACCAGCATTATCATTTCACTCTTAAGCATGTGATATGGGTCGGGCATGGTGGCCCACACCCGTATTCCCATCGCTGTGGGAGGCTTGAGGCGGGAGGATGACTTGAGACCTGGAGTTTGAAGCCACCCTGGGCCATATATTTATTTATATATATATAGACACACACACGTATATATATGTGTGTGTGTATATATATACACGTGTGTGTGTATATATATGTGTGTGTGTGTGTCTGTGTGTGTGTATACATATATATATATATATATTTAAAAATTAGGGGTGGAGGGTGTGGTGGCAGGCACCTGTAGTCCCAGTTACTCAGGAGGCTGAGGTGTGAGGTGGAAGGATGTGTTGAGTCCAAGAGCTGAATGCTGCAGTGAGCTATGAATGCACCCCTGAGCTCCAGCCTTGGTGACAGAGCGAGACCCTGTCTCTGAAATTATGATAACAGTAATTCAAATAATTTAAAATCTTTGTGTACACGCAATATAACCAAAACACAGGTTCATTCTCTCACCTCTTGGAGATCGAATTAACAAGAGCGATGTCTGCTATGAAGAAGCAGACTTTCTGCCATGCTTGGTTTAGGGGAAGACGTACAGGCTCCTGCCTTTAAGGGCTCTGCTTCCCTTTGTGGGCAGACAGCAGGGCCTTTTAAAGGGGGACTTGGCATGAATGGTAGGCAGGGAGGGGGCAGGCGGCTGCGGGGTCTATGTGACATGCTGAGGTGCCTTGTCTGCTGCGCGGACATGCTGGCACCATCTTGGCCAGAGCTACATTGGAAAGGGGCTGTATGTCAAGCTGAAACAGACATATTCTTGAGCTGCGTTCCGGGATGCTCTTAAGTTGCTTGGAGACAACTTGATCCCTTTGAGTTTTGTTTTAGAATTTGCTCAGTGGGACCAGAGCATATTTTAATGTAAATTAATAGTATTAGTTGACAATCTCCAGTGCTTGGCAAGGCTGTAGTTGGAAACGAAGACTCATACGCTGTCAGTAGGAGTGGTGGTAACCTCTATCTGGACATTTATTTGGCATTTTCTATTGAGGGAAAGATGTACATACCCTTCCACCTGTAGGGAAAAGAAAGAAAGATCAGAGTGTTACTGTGTCTATGTAGAACAGGAAGACATAAGAAACTCCGTTTTGACCTGTACCCCGAAGGATTGTTTTGCCCTGAGATGCTGTTAATCTGTAACTTTGTCCCAACCTTGAGCTCACAGAAACATGTGTTGTATGGAATCAAGGTTTAAGGGATCTAGGGCTGTGCAAAGTGTGCCTTGTTAGTAAAATGTTTACAGGCAGTATGCTTGGGAAAAGTCATCGCCGTTCTCCATTCTCGATAAACCAGGGGCACAATGCACTGCGGAAAGCCTCAGGGACCTCTGCCCTGGAAGGCCGGGTATCGTCCAAGGTTTCTCCCCATGTGATAGCCTGAGAGATGGCCTCGTGGGATGGGAAAGACCTGACCGTCCCCCAGACCGAAACCTGTGAAGGGTCTGTGCTGAGGAGGCAGGCCTCTTGCAGTTGAGATAAGAGGAAGGCCTCTGTCTCCTGCCTGCCCCTGGGAATGAAATGTCTCGGCATAAAACCCGATTGTACATTTGTTCTATTCTGAGATAGGAGAAAACCCGCCCTGTGGCGGGAGGCGAGACATGTTGGTGGCAGTGCCACTCTGTTACTGTTTACTCCACTGAGATGTTTGGGTGGAGAGAAGCATAAATCTGGCCTACATGCACATCTAGGCATAGTAACTTCCCCTGAACTTATTTGTGACACAGATTCCTTTGCTCACGTGTTTTCTTGCTGACCTTCTCCCCACTCTCACCCTGTTCTCCTGCCACATTCCCCTTACTGAGGTAGTAAAAATAGTAATCGATAAATACTGAGGGAACTCAGAGACCGCTGCCCATGCGTGTCCTCCGTATGCTGAGCGCCGGTCTCCTGGGCCCACTGTTCTTTCTCTATACTTTGTGTCTTATTTCTTTCCTCAGTCTCTCGTCCCACCTGACGAGAAATACCCACAGGTGTGGAGGGGCTGGCCCCCTTCATCCACCCACCTTGAGGAATCCATCTGAGAAACTCCTGGACAGGCAAATGAGGTCGAAGACAGGTAAATGCGTCCAGACAACTTTGACCAGGCGCTGAGCCACCGGCCCCTGCAGACAACATCACGGGCACAAAAGCAGAAGCCCAGGGAGCAAAGATGAAGATCCAGGAGCACAGTAACTGTCAGGTAGGGACCTGCTGGCCCACTGAGTCTGGGAGCAATGCTACAGGCTCTGCAGGGAGACCCCCGGAGTGACCCGGGGCCTGTCTCCAGAGGGCGGCCCTTCCTTAACTGGAGCTGCCTCTTTCCCTCCTGCCCTAGGACGTAAACCTTGCTTGGCTGAAGTATTGAATTCACGGGGGATCTGACCCTGCTTCGCCCATGATGCTCATCTGTCCTCTGGGGTCTCATTCCCTGAGCTTCCCAGAGCGGCCTCCTTTGTTTGGCTCAGCTCTGTGTCTTCCTTCCCAAAGCTGTGTCTCCAGTGTGCTAGGCTTCCCCTCTCTTCCCTCAAGTGACCTCAAGGGCCCAGGAGGAAACACAAGAGGGCGGGAGGGCTCCCTGAGGTGGGGAGCAGACAGACAGCAGGTTCTCCTTCTGCCCTCCCTTGAAAGATGCCCCCAATTCACACCTACGCGGGCGCCGGCATGGCAAGGTGGGTGAGGAGGGGGAATGGGCGAGGCCTCAGGTGATCCTCCCACCTCGTTTTCTAGCATTAGCATATAGCATGGGGGAACAGCGTGGGGAGGTACATGGCTGTCAAAATGAGACTCAGGTTGGGGACATGACAATGATGAATGTGTCTGGGTCATGCAGCATACATGTGTGCTATGCACTCTCCGTATGACTGTGTGTGTGTGTGTGTGTGTGTGTGTGTGTGTGTGTGTGACTGCATATGCAGAGGCAATTGCAGGCGGCAGGGCCACCAGGATCCTGACAGTCCTCTCATGTGGCTGTGGGTGACAGTTACATTCTTCTCTATAGTTTTCTGTGTTGCTCGTTCGTTTTCCCTCCCGTGAAACTGTTTTATCTACAGAGTCAGAGGAAAAACAATAAAATACTTTTTTTTTAAAGATGAGATCTCACTTTGTTGTCTAGGCTATGAGGGATTATAGCTCACTGTAGCCTTGAACTCCTGGCCTCAAGCAATCCTCCCACCTTGGCCTCCCAAAGTACTGGGATTACAGGAGTGAGCCTAGGATACGAAATGTCTTTCATAGATCGAAGGCTATTCAGGTTTTCTATTTCTCGTGAGCAAGTTTTGGTTATCTGAGTCATTCAAGGAATTTGTCCATTTCATCGAAATTGGCAAATTTATTTCCAAATATTGTTCCTAATATTTCCTGGTTATTCTTTTTTCAGTTTTATTGGTATTTCAAAAAGCATTCAGGTTCGTGGATTTTTCTCTATTGTTTGTTCATTTTACAGTTTTAAATTTCTGCTCTTATCTTTATTATTTCTTTTCTATTAGAAATTTAGATGTTCCAAATTTATTTGTTTTTAAAATTGGCATGTAAAATTGTATGTATTTACCATATACATTGAGATGGGTTTTTATAGCTTTTATTTCTTTAATTGACACATACCAGTTCTACATATGTATTGGGTACATAGTGAAGTTTTGATACATATAATGTAGAGTGAACAGATCAACGTAATTAGCATATCCATCATCTCAAACATTTATCATTTCTTTGTGTTGGGAATATTCAATATCCTCATTCTAGCTGTTTGAAACTATATAATAGATTATTGTTAACTCTAGCCATTCTACAATGGTATAGAACACTAGAACTTATTCCTCCTATCTAGCTATAATGTTGTATCCTTTAACAAATGTCTCCATATCCCTTCCTTCCCCTCCCCATCCCAGCCTCTAGTATCTTCCGTTTTACCTCCGTAAGACCAACTCTTTTTAGCTTCTGCATATGAACGAGAACATGCAGAGTTTAACGTTCTGTTCCTGGCTTACTTCACTTAACAAAATGTCCTTCAGTTCCATCTATGTTGTCACAAATGGCAAGATTTCATTCTTTTCATGGCCAATAGTATTCCATTGTGTATATACACCACATATTCTTTATCCATTCACTTGTGGTTGGACCCTTGTGTTGATTCCAATCCTTGGCTATTGTGAATAATGCTGCAATAAACATAGGGGTGCAGCTGTCTCTTCAATACATTGATTTCCTTTTCTCTGGATAAATTCCCAGTAGTGGGATTGCTGGACCGTAGGGTCGTTCTATGTTTAGAGTTTTGAGGAACCTCCATACCATTCTCCACAGTGGCTGTACTACTTTACAATCCCATGAGCAGTATGTAACGGTTCCCTTTCCTTTGCATCTTTCTCAGCATTTGTTATCTCTGGTCTTCTTGATACTGGTCATCCTAACTGGGGTGAGGTGATACCTTATTGTGGTTTGATTGTCACTTCCCTGCTGATGTTTGATGGTAGCCAGGTTTTCATTTATTTGTTGGCCATATGTATGTCTCTTTTTGAGAAATGCCCGTTCAGATCATTTGCCCATTTTTCTTTTTATTAATTTTTTTTTTTTTTTTTTTTTTTTTGAGAGGAAGTGTCGCCCTGTCGCCCACGCCGGAGTGCAGCGGTGGGATCTCAACTCAATGCAACCTCCGCCTCCCAGGTTCTAGCGATTCTCCTGCCCCGACCTCCCGAGTAGCTGGGATTACAGGCACCCGTCACCAAGCCCAGCTGATTTTTGTATTTTAGTAGACACGGGGTTTCACCATGTTGGCTAGGCTGGTCTGGAACTCCTGACCTCCAGTGATCCGCCCACCTCGGCCTCCCAAAGTGCTGGGATTACAGGCTTGAGCCACCGCGCCCGGCCACATTTCTTTATAAAGTTTTGTAAATGTATAGCTACAATTTAATACCAAAATGGAAATAATTGTGGTTTTATTACATGAATGATAATCTTTCACCCCTGGGTTTTATGAAGAGGAAAGGTTTTATGCAAAACAATGTGTCTCCATTCCTAATTGTTTTAAACACTTTAGGAGGGATTGGATTATATGGATTGGTTGTGTGATAAAGGAGATATTTTAATTATCATTTATCTTTTTGTATTGTGAGAAATTTCTTGTTCGTGAATCAGATTTTGCTGTATGTAATAGAAAGCATCCCAGGTGGCTGTCTGAAATGGCTATCGGTACATTTCTTGAAAAAAAAAAAAAAAAAGATTCCTGAAGCCTTTAAGTACTGCCACTTTCAGTCAAACTTTAAAACTGTTAGCAGTTTCAAAGTGCTCAGGAGGTGTGTGCAAAGACAGGTTTAATGGAGCTTGCACAGGTTGCTTTTTCCTTTGAACCTTTGAAAAAATTTACTCTTCACATTTTCTGACTCGAAAATTATTGAATCTTGCTGAACAAAACTTTTACATATTGAGATACTGTTTCCTTTTCATGGCAGAATTCTTTATAAGAGTTCGTTTGTTGAAAACCAGGGATCCTTTTGAATACCACAGCCTTAGTTCAATGTTGCTTTTTAATATATGGAAAATAGTTTTAAAACCAAATAGGAGTAATAGTGAATTATGAGGAACAACATAGACTTACAAATTCCAAAAATACTAACCTGGTGTCATAAGTTTGTATGATGTAATACATAATAATACTCTCACTTGAGAAGCTGTGATTGAGTACCCAGGCTAAGACTTTGCCCCTGTCTCAAACGCTAATCGCTTGGAGGGAGAACACAGCTGACTGCTGTCTCCCTGAATACGTTTGACAGAGACTGTCCAGTTGGGGTTTCTGGCAGCTGAGACATCCAGGCAAGTTCCGACTTATGCGGGAAGGCCAGCACCGGGGCGCTGTCCCAGGAGGCATGGGGCCGCTGGTCACCAGGGCGGGGAAGGAGAGAAGCGTGAACACAACCCTTGCACACGATGACGCTGCTGTAAACGTGTACACCACAGGCTGTGGCTCGGCACAGGCTATCCGGTTCCCTGGAGGGCCAAGTGGCAGATACTCAAGCTGAGTGTGAAGAGATCTATCTAGGTCCCAGCGGAAAGAAGCGGGCCAGACCCCACTCCTAATTCAGTGCCTCCCTTTTGCCTGTCCCCTAAGCCTTCTCTCCAGCCCAAGAGAAAGTGGCAACTGGTCTGGAGGAGCCCTAGGCCCTACCCTGCTGGTTCTGCTACCAGCCCAGCACCTGTTGATGCCAAAGCTGGTGTGTGTCACGCCCCCTCACCAGCACTGTAGACACAATGACTCGGCCAGTTGATAGTAGCCAACCTTCATCCTCAGCTACGCCAGAACCGGCATCCTTTAGCATCAGGAAAATGGACAGTGAGACTGAGATATCACCACATCATACTTGCCACAGTGAGATGCCATCGCATACTTAGTAGAAGGGCTAACATGAGAAAGACTGACCGTGCCAAGTGTTGGGGGAAGTGGTAGAAAGAACCGAACTGTTGGAGATGTGTCCGAGGCTTCTTGTCACTTCCACAAGAGTCCTACAAGAGGAAGATGAACTTAGACTAGAGCTAGGAGTCTGCAAGCCAGAGCTGGGAGGGGATGCACTTCTGAGAGCGTTGCTTTCCTCCTCCTGAGACCTGAAGTCTTTGTTGAATGAGAACCTGAACATTTGGAACCTTACAGGCTGAGAAAGCTAACTACTTCTAAAGCTCCAACTGCAGCCATTTGCGCAGGTGCCCTGGAATCAGCATCCTGAGGAGGCGATACAGACTTTAGGAGCCAGTCAAGTAGTTAAGATCAGCACTTCAGAAGTGAGACAGCCCAAGCCCCATTCATGAGGGATTCACCCCCATGACCCAAAATCGAGCTGGCACTTCACATGGTGAAAACAGGAGGGAGGGAGGGAGGGACAGAGAGAGAGAGAGAGAGAGAGAGAAAGAGAGAAGAGAGAGAGAGACAGTGGGGGAGGACGTGCCACACACTTTTATTTATTTGTCCATTTCTTTGAGACAGGGTCTCACTCTGTCGCTCAGGCTGGAACACAGTGGTGTGATCACGGTTCAGTGCAGCCTCAACCTCCCTGGCTCAAGCATTCCTCCCACCTCTGCATCCAGAGTTGTTGAGACCAGAGGTGTGTGTCACCACGCCCAGCTAACTTTTGTGTTTTTTGTTGAGACGGGGTTTCGCCATGATGCCCAGGCTAGTCTCAAACTCCTGGGCTCAAGCGATCCACCCACCTTGGACTTCCAAAGTGCTGGGATGACAGGCGTGAGCCACTGTGCCCGGCTGCCACACACTTTTAAAGACCAGATCTCGTGTGAACTCAGACTGAGAGCTCACGCATCAGGAAGGAGACAGCCCAAGCCCCATTCATGAGGGATTCATCCCCATGACCCAAAATCACCTCCCACCAGGCCCCACCTCAAACACTGGGGATTACAATTCAACATGAGATTTAGTGGGATCAAACATTCGAGCTGAATCACTGCATGACCTCCAAGAAGGCCATACTCCCCAATGCTCACACCAGGTGTGGCCCAGGGGGACAGATGGATAAGGAGAGACCGCCAGAAGGCAGAGCCAGTGGCCACAGAAGGCAATGTGAGGACAAGGGGTTCTTTCCCAGATGACAGACCCAAGGGCTGCCTGATGGAATAACCAAGGACTTTGCTCCACTGCTGGAGGAAAGTCCTCATGTTATCCCTGCCCAGAGGG